CAGTATAAGGTATAGGTTCCTTTTTATACCACTATCCCGAGCTTCTCAAAAATTTTTCCTCCAGAAACCCTGGAAAGTAAAGATTCTAGACTCAAAAAAATAATAGAGTGAGGATCAAGACCAAAAGCCAAGAGATTAAGCAAAAGCACGTTTAGCAAACGGCAGCCCTGACCCACAGTCTACTTCCTTTGCCCAGATCTCAGGACCAAGCATACACAGCAGCTCCCCTCCTTATTCTGGGGAACACATTCCAAGACCCCGAGTGGTGTGGAAGTCTGAAATCTCATACAGTGCCTCTTCCGTGTGAACTAAGGACCTACCACACGTTGTGACCATAACTTTGGCAGTCTGCCTTGCAACAGCAAAACCAGCACAAATTTCTCTTTCCTTCATAATTTTATAGACAGAAAATTTGTCCCTAACACAGATCTTAGGTAGCTCTGCACACATTTTTTTTTTCTTTCCTTAGTAAGTCAAGAACTTTCACCTTTTCACTTAAAGGAAGTGCTTTACAGCTACTCACTGGAATATCCAAATTATCAGCAACACTACTCTTGTCCTTTGGGGCCACTGTTCAGCAAAATAAGGGTTACTTGAACACAAGCACTGCAATACCAAAGACAGTCCATCTGATGACCAAGATGGCTACTAAAAGTGGCTACTAGGTTACAGTGGTGTATACAGTGTGGATATGCTGGACAAAGGGAGGATTCACTTCCCAGACAGGGCAGTGAGGTTTCAACATGCATAACGGCATACAACTCAAAATTTTTTTGAACTGTTTATTTCTGGAATTTTCCAGGTAATATTTTCAGATCTTGCTTGAGCATATGCAACTGAAACTGTGAAAGTGAAACTGCAGATAAGAAGGAACCACTTTACCCCATTCCTCTCCATGCCCCTACTTGATTTAGGTGCCCTGTTTTGCATGCTGTCAAACCAATTTCCATCCTGGTATGCGTCCTACTGAAGAACAATGTCTTTCACTTCTACTGCACCCTCTAGACTATAAGCTCCTTAAGGACAAGAGCAGCATCTGATGCAGCTTTGTATCCCCAGAGCCTAACACAACGACTTGCCACAGGAGACACTGTACAAAAACAAATACCATGCAAAACTACCTGCAATATCACAGCACACTAAGTATAATTTGGACTGAGTCATGAATAAAAAACAAAGATTTAGAATTTGATAAAGAATCGCATCTAGAATTAATTTAAAATCATCCCAGAGACACTGAAAAGTTTCAATTTTAGATCTATATGATGGTCACAAATGTTTTAAAATTATCATTTGTAATAACATGAAAAACATCAAATACTTAAGAATAAATAACAAAAGATGTGCAAAACTTCTACACAGAACACTATGAAACACTACCTTGAGAAATTTTAAGAGATTAATAAAAAAGTAGACAGCTATACCACATTCATAAATTCAAAGACTTAACATTGTTAAGATGTCAATTCTCGGGGCCAGCATTGTGGCTTAACAGGTTAAGTAAGCTACCACCTACAATGCCAGCATCCCATACAGCTACTAGTTTGAGTCCTGGCTGCTCTGCTTCTGATCCAGCTCCCTGCTAAAGCACCTGGGCCATAGCACCCACATGGAAAACCCAGAAAAAGTTCCTGGCTTCGGACTGGCCTAGTCCTGGCCATTGCAGCCATTTGGGGAGTAAACCAGCTGATGGAAGATCTCTCGATCTCTTCTGTCTCTGTAACTCTGCCTTTCAAGTAAATAAAATAATCTTAAAAACAAAAAATGGAGCCAGCACTATGGCATAGCAGGTAAAGCTGCTGCCTGCAGTGCCAGCATCCCATGTGGGCCCCAGTTTGAGTCCTGGCTGCTCCACCTCCGATCCCGCTCTCTGCTACGGCCTGGGAAAGCAGTAGAGGATGGCCCAAGTCCTTGAGTCCCTCCCATGTGGGAGACCAGGAGGAAGCACATGCTTCTGGTTTTGGATTTGCACAGCTCCAACCATTGTGGCCATCTGGGGAGTGAACCAACAGAAGGAAGACCTCTCTCTCTCTGCCTCTCTTTAACTGTGCCTTTCAAATAAATAAATAAACCTTAAAAAAAAAAGTCAATTCTCCCCAAAGTAATGTACAGATTCAATTCCAATTCCAAAATTTGTAGAAATTGACAAGCAGATTCTGAAACTTATATGGATGTGTAGAAAGCCAAGAATAGCCCAGTTATAAGGATCAAAGTCACATATCAAGGCTTATTATAAAGTTACTTTAATACAGCGGTATCAGTACAAGGATAATAAAGTGACAAATCAGAGTGTTCAGAGACAGACTCATACTTACTCATACAGATTCATCTGATCATGAAAAAAGTATCACTGTACAGAAGGTAAGGATGGTATTTTCAATAAATGGTTCTAGGGGGCAGGGATTTGGCCAGCAACTGGTATTAGAATGCCTGGTTCGAGTCCAAGGTACTCTGCTTCCAATCCAGCTTCCTGCTAATGCCCACCGGGGAGGCATCAGATGATGGCTCAAGTACTCTGGGTCCTAGCCACACATGTGGAAGCCCGGATGGAGTCCCAGATTCCTGGTTTTCACCCCCACCCAGCCCTGGCTATTTGGGGGCATCTGGGGAATAAAGGAGCAGAAAGATTTCTCTCTTTCAAATAACATGGAAGTAAACAAAATTGTTGTAATAATAATCAGTGGCACTGGGTCAAACAGATATCCACATCATAAAGAGTGAATCATGCAGTTTATCCTTTCAAGTGGGCAAAGACAATTCTTACAATCCATCTAGAATTAAATGTAAACTGTATGCCTTAAATGCAAAAAGTAAAATTTCTACAAGGGAACACAGAAAAATATCTTCATATCCTTAGGCTAGCACACAAAAAGCAGCAGCCATAAAGAAAAAGTCTGGTAATGGGGCCAGCACCGTGGCTCACTTGGTTAATCCTCCACCTGCAGCGCTGGCATCCCATATGGGCGCCGGGTTCTAGTCCTGGCTGCTCCTCTTCCAGTCCAGCTCTCTGCTGTGGCCTGGGAGAGCAGTAGAGGATGGTCCAAGTGCTTGGGCCCTGCACCCGCATGGGAGGCCAGGAAGAAACACTTGGCTCCTGGCTTCAGATCGGCGCAGCAACAGCCGTAGCAGCCATTTGGGGAGTGAACCAATGGAAGAAGACCTTTCTGTCTGTCTGTCTCTCTCACTGTCTTTAACTCTACCTGTCGAACGAACGAACGAACAAACGAATGAACGAACAAGAAAGAAAGAAAGAAAGAAAGAAAGAAAGAAAGAAAGAAAGAAAGAAAGAAAGAAAGAAAGAAAGAAAGGCAGACTTGTAAAATATTATTTCATTAAAACTAGGAATTTCAGATCAGCACCGTGGCTCACTTGGCTGATCCTCCGCATGCGGCGCCGGAATCCCATATGGGTGCCAGGTTCTAGTCCCAGTTGTTCCTCTTCTGGTCCAGCTCTCTGCTGTGGCCCAGGAAGGCAGTGGAGGATGGCTCAAGTGCTTGGGCGCCTGCACCCACGTGGGAGACCAGGAAGAAGCACCTGGCTCCTGGCCATATAGGGGGTGAACCAACTGAAGGAAGACCTTTCTCTCTGTCTCTCCCTCTCACTGTCTGGAACTCTGTCAAATAAATAAATAAATAAATAATCAAAAAAAAAAAAAAAAAAAAACTAGGAATTTCAACATTAAAAAAAAAATCATTAGAAGAATGAAGAGGCAAGGGACCGGCGCTGTGGCATAGTGGGTAAAGCCGCCACCTGCAGTGCCGGCATCCCATATGGGCAGCGGTTTGAGACCCAGTTGCCCCACTTCTGATCCAGCTCTCTGCTATGGCCTAGGAAAGCAGTAGAAGATGGCCCATGCCCTTGGACCCCTGCACCCACATGGGAGACCTGGAAGAAGCTCCTGGCTCCTGGCTTTGGATCCGCACACCTTCAGCCATTGCAGCCAATTGGGGAGTAAACCAACAGATGGAAGACCTTTCTCTCTCTCTCTCTCTCTGCCTCTTCTCTGTGTAACTCTGACTTTCAAATAAATAAATAAATCTTTAAAAAAAAAAGAGAGAGAGACAAGATACAAATGCATTATATAAACCAGAAGAGACTCATATCTAGAATAAGGAATTATAAATCAATTGATATTAATCATACCGATGAAAACTAAGCTAAAAGACTAGGCATTTCACAAGATGACACCGGAATGGCCAATAAAAGATACTCAACCTCAATCACCAGGAAAATGCAAAATAAAACCACACTGCTATAAAACTGCACCTCTACCAGAATGGCAACAATTTTCTGAAGCCACAAGCATCAGCACAAACGTGGGGCAACTGGAATAGCATTCCTCAAGATTGTTCAACAATATCCAATACTAAAGTTTAACATCCACTCACCTCAAAAGCTAACTATTCTCCCAGATACACCCCTCCTAGTCATGTTCTATTTTCTAATCTCTGGTGGTTCACTTAGTAAAAATTCATTACCTGCACACTCAGCATTGGGAACTTTGTGTGTATATTGTACTGTCACAAGTTTTCTAATATTTCTTTGACACAAAGTTCTCAGAGAGCTCAAGGTTAGCCTTTCAGAACAGAAAGAGAGTTTCTGGGACAAAGACAAAATTTTACTAGTGAAATTCCAAAGCAAAAAGAAAGCTGCTAACACATACCAGCCGAGAAACAAAGATAACGACTACCAAGAGATCATTTTTCTCCAAGTTCATGAAGCACTGGGCTTCATTCTCTCAGCAAAGAAAGGAGTTTATTATCCCACACTGCGACCCAAAGAAAAGATATCTTTGCAAGAAATGCTGGTGCTTTTTTGAAACGACCCTGACAGCCTAGACAGGAGAAAAGCGAGGGAGCCATTCCAAAAGTTCGGGTTAACTCGTCACTGAAACAGTACCGACTGAGATGATCTAAGACGCCCAAAGACAGACAGAATGAAAAAAGAGCGAAAAATCACAGCAACCGTAACACCAACACCGGCACCACAATCCAACCTACCGGAAATCCTGTGGTTAATTTGAGGCTTGCCCCGCTAGTCATAAGGTGATTCAGTGATGGCTACAAACGCTCCTCAAGCGCATCCCTGGGAGTCGCCTGGCACACCTGGCTTGTCCATCACCTGCCCGGAGACGCGGCCGCGCCGGCATCCCCGAGGCCACACACAGACGCCAACTTCGCAAGTAAAGGGCGCACGCAGGCGGTCTCACCCCACCTCAGGTCACCCGGAGGGAACGGACCTGTGGCCTCGAGGGTGGGGGGTGGGGGGTCAGCTTCCCCGGGACTCCCGAGGAAGTGCCCCCCGAAGCCGCTCCGCCTCCCCGCCTCCCCGCAACTTCGCAGGAAGACCCGCCGGCGGGTTTCCTCCCTGGCGCCCCCAGGAGCGGGGTCGCGGGCGACGGCTGCAGACGAGCCGGCGACCGCAGGGAACTTAGGCCCCGGCGGGGCCGCGAGCGCCCGCTCCGCAACTTTGGCGGCGGCCCCCGCCCGCCGCGCCTCGGCCCAGCTGCGCGCCCCTCAGAACCCCGGGCTCGCCGCCCGCCCCGGCCTGGCGCAGCGCCCCCTCACCTTGGAAACGCTGGGTGGACTTCGCTGTAAACATTAACTTCCCATGCAGCCGGCAGCCGCGCCGCCGCGTCCCAGAGCCTCGGCCCCGCTCTCGGCTCCGCGGGCCGTCCTCTCCCGCGTCCTCAGGCGCACCGCGCTGGCTCGGGGGCTCAGGGCCGCCTCCCGATCTTCACCCAGTCCTCCGGGCACCGTTGCCGTCTCAGCCACCGCCGAGCCCCTCGCCCGCCGCCCGCCGGTTCTTCCAGGGTCCGGCCCGGCCGCGTCAGGAAAGCCCAAGGCGCAGGCGCGGCAGGGCCTTAAAGGGACCCAGCCGCCTCTACCGCATAATGGGTTCGAGCAGGTTAGGGGCCGGGCGGGCTGGCCGAGGAAAGCAGAAGCCGAAGGGATTGGGCCGACTGGAGCGGGGGCGGGGAAATCGCGCGCTCCTCCGCCTCTCTTTCAAAGCAGCAGCCCTCGGCCCTGCAGATTGCTGACTTCCCCAGTCGCTTGGACCGCCCCTTTCCCTGTTAGAGCTGCAGAAGACACACCCCCTCGGGAGCCAGAAGCGACCCCGCGGCGCCCGGGGCTGCGGGCCTCGCGCGGCCGCGCCGCCCACGCGCCTGGCTTCTGGGCTGCGGGCACGCGGTGCAGACGCGCAGGCTTCGAAAGCGTCCCCGAGCTCCCCTGGGAGGTATCCTGAGGTCACCCTCGGAAACATTAATCAACGTGTAAATGGCACTTGCGTTGGTAAAGCACTCTCCCTGCAAGCGCCTTGTCTGGACGCACGGGGCTAGTGCGGAGTCCGGCAGGGGGCGGAACCTGGGCTCAAATACGTGAAGTCCAGCCGGGCAGCCAGCCAACATCAACGAAGAAATTCTTAGAAGGAAAATACTCAGTGTAGGGCAGTAACAGCCTATTAATTCCAGTCGTATCCCAAGAAAGTAGGCGAGAAAAGTTACTCTCGTTATACATTCAGAAGCGACCCAGAAATTGATGATAAATGATCAGCACGAAACACTCCAAAACTGTTGACTAGAAACTAGAGGTCTCCCGTCATTTTCCAATTTAAATGTGTAAGACATGGCATCCAGAAGGAGTTCCGCTGTAATAAGCATTTCAGAGAAACTCCCCAATTTTTTCAACAAAATTAGGAAATACAAAAAAAATAGGAAGTAAAGCCATATCCTTAAGGCATCCAGCTGAGAACTTTGAAAACTTGAAATTTATCTGAGGCAAATTTCTGTATAACTTCAGGTCGTGCCATTATTCAAAGTAAGTTTCAATGAACAATTTCTTTGCAACCAAATCCATCTTGTCTAAGAAAACTAAGGCATTCTTGATAATCTACCTGTCTGTCCCATATTCAATCTATCAGCAAATCTTGCCGGTTTTTATCTGCCAGGTTTTCCCCGAATCTGACCTTTCCTGTCTTCTCCATCACCATCTTCGCCTGCTGGATGGGAGTGGAGGGACAACTGACTTTTAATTGGTTTACTGTATTCTTTTAACAGAACAAGTGACTTTGTGAAAATATAATGTGACCTTGTCACTTCCTAGCATAAACCCCTTCAATAGCGCTCTGTTGTCTCAGACAAAATCTCCTAAGGCCTACATGGTCAGGCACCTTGCCTACCTCTCCACATCTCAGGGCTCAACCCGCACTCCATCCTGCCCTTGTGGCTGCGTTCCCTCCTATTTGGCAGCTCCCTCTCCGCACACACTTTTTGGGAGCTTTGTTCTGGGCCTGGGATGTCCCTCCAACCCTCATCCTTCCAACGTCAGTGTAGTCGCCACGCTGAGAAGCACCCTCTCACCTCCCTGCCCCGGTTCTCACTTCTTGTTTCCTCCACCAAACTATTAACACCATCAAGCCAGAAGCTTGGTTTTGTCTGGTTCACAGTTATATTTTTGTATTTCTTCAATAAATGAGACTCACAGATGCTAGAACTTGAGCTAGATGTGTCTTAAAGGTTACCTAAATCACAAAAAGGTGAAAATGTCACAATTTGACATTTGGAATTAGAGTCTAAAAAAAATATTTTAAAACTGATGATATAGTGTTTTAGCTAGGCTGTCACAAGATTTTCTGGGTAACCTTTAAAACTGAGTTCTCAAAGCGCCTTGTATAAACCCCTCAATTAGTAATATAGCTATGGGATAGGCCCACATGAAACCAATAACATTGGAGATGAAGACTGGGTGACCAGAGGTCAAGGATAAAGGGAAAACATTTTACTGCTTGCTCAAAAAGTTTAAAAATCTACCTTGTCTATTTTAAAGCACATGAATATATTACCTATTTGAAAATAAATAAGTGACACAGAGTGCCTATTGTATGATTTCAGTTATTTGAAATTCCAGAAAAGGCAAAGCTAATCTGTGATGGAAAAATTCATTAACAGTAGTTGCCTCTGACAGACGGCTGAATGGGGAGGTATGTGGAGAACTTTATGGGTAGTAAAAATGGATGTCTCTTGATAGAGGTCTGAGTTATACCAGTCTACTCACTTACCAAAAAATGTACAGGGGGCCGGCACCGCGGCTCAATAGGCTAATCCTCCGCCTTGCGGCACCGGCACACCGGGTTCTAGTCCCGGTCGGGGTGCCGGATTCTGTCCCAGTTGCTCCTCTTCCAGTCCAGCTCTCTGCTGTGGCCCAGGAGTGCAGTGGAGGATGGCCCAAGTGCTTGGGCCCTGAACCCACATGGGAGACCAGGATAAGCACCTGGCTCCTGGCTTCGGATCAGCATGGTGCACCAGCTGCAGCGCGCCGGCCGCGGCGGCCATTGGAGGGTGAACCAACGGCAAAGGAAGACCTTTCTCTCTGTCTCTCTCTCTCTCTCTCACACTGTCCATTCTGCCTATCAAAAAAAAAAAAACAAAAATGTACAGGGGTGGATATTTGACCTAGCAGTAAAGACACCAATTAGGATGCCCACATTCCACAACTGAGTGCCTAGGTTCAACTCCCAGCTTCAGCTCTTGATTCCAGCTTCCTGCTAATGCAGACCCTGGGAGGCACCAGTCCGGTGGTGGCTCAGATAACTGAGTTCCTGCCGCCTACCTGGCCAGCACCTCCCCACCCTCTGCTCTGCCACCTGCTGCTGCAGGCATTTTGGTAGTGAACCACCAAATGGGACACCCCCTACCTCCCACCCCAGTTTCTCTGACTTTCAAATAAATGTTGTAATGTTATCAACATTTGAGTGAATACAAACTTTACCTTAAAATATAAAAAATTAATGAAATTTTTAAAAACAATACTAGCTGACACATAGTTGGGCACTCACTGTGCACAGGGCTATAATATACCACTGTTTATTCTCATCCTCATACTATCTCCATGAGAATAGGTATTATTATCATAACCCCATTGCATATGAGGAAATTATTATTTAGCATATACCAAGTAATTTGCCTTGATTTATGTCACCGGAAAATGGTGGTAGAGCTTTGAATGCAGCCAGCCTAGTGGTGGTTTATGTATTTTTTGGTTTATGTTTTCACTCATCTGGGCTACTAGATCAAGAGCTTCAACAACAACTGAAACCATATTTGGTCTTAAGCTTCTTAGTAGCCCCAGCACTTTACATAGTAGCTCTTAAATATATTTTGAATGAATGATTAAAAAAGCCTGGTATTGATTTTATTAGGACAAATTATATATTCTGGTATTTTCTACATAATACACCTTTAGTTGTATTTATATGTGTGTGTGTTGTATTTTCTAAATAACATTAACATTTAGCTATACTTATATATGTGTATGTATAATTTATACCAACTTGGCACAGCTCTGCTACATGGTGGGCTGTTTTCTCACCTGAGAACAGAAGCTTGCATCATGAGTGCTGAGCCCCCAGCACTATGCCTATTTACCCTTTTCTTTCACTCAGCCTGAGCACATCAATTTATTGGGTTGGAAGAGCTTACACTTTAACAGCTCACTGAAATAGCTCATTCTAACCAGAGAAAGAGCTAATTCCAACCTCTCATGAGTGCTTGAGCACTTGCGTAAGTGAAATTCCATTGTGTGAATTCCACACCAACACCACCTGGCTCCAGCTCCTGCCATTCTGTCCTCACACTCCAGAGCCTCACCCGTGGATAGATGATGGGGGAAGCACCGAGCACCCCCTCAGAGATAGCAGTAGATTCAGCTAGCACTTCAAGTTTCCTGTGTTGTGATACTGCACACTCTTAGCATTCATTTGGAAGGAAAATCCCTCCAAATCTGGCAAGGGTTAAATCCCAGAATAGCAGGATTCTTATCTGCCAAACACGTTTAACTGCAAAACATGTTTAAGTCATGTGAGACCCCTTGCTCACAGAAAAGCAAAGCAAGGGAGAGGCCTCCCCTGAGAGTCAAAAACAACTGAAGTGCAAAGGCAGAACTCACCAGTGAGGTCAAACCCATCAATGAACAACACACCATGCTTTTCCTGGGCAGCTGGCATTTGGGGCTTGCAGAACCACTAGCCACATAGAACTACTGACATTCAAACTTAAAATTTTAGGGGCAGGCATTTGGCCTAGCAGTTAAGACACCCACAATCCACATGGGAAAACCTGGATTCAATTCCCACCTCTGGCACCAGATTCCAGCTTCCTGCCAATGTAGACCCTTGGAGGCAGCGAGTGATGGCTCAGGTAGTTGAGTCCCTGCCGCCCACATGGAGACCTGGATTGAATTGCCAGTTTCTGTCTTCAGGCCAGCCTGGTCTCAAGCCTTTGCAGGCATTTGGGGAGTGAATCAGCAGATGGGAGCTCTCTGTCTGTCTCCTCTCTCACAAATTAAAAAAAATTTTCTCAATCACATTCCCATATTTCAGGTGC